TTTAATTTTTTTAAAAATATTCTCTACACAGGTCTTTGCTGGCTTTCTAATTTTTTGAAGTGTCCGTTTTTTTAGCTGTGCCATAGATTAGTACGCTATATTGATATATTGGTTGAATGTACGTTCTGTATATCTTGAGCAGTGTACATGTTTTGAAAAGTATCTGAATTGATAGATCACTGAGCAAGATTTTTCTGCTTTTTTAAAAATTTTATCGATGTGTTTCGAAATTTTTTTCATCAGTTACTAGGCCTAATTATTTTTGTGATCTATTGTTTGAGAATTTCTTGCTTTTAAATTTTAAGGTGGCTAATTGATCGTTGTGTATGAATAGTTTATTCTCCGAAAATCAATTTTCAATATTGCTCATATCAGAGTTCCCCTGCTGCTAATTTTCTGTTTTAGTTGCTGTGTCCAATGCGCAATCATAAGCAAACAGTATTATTTTTTTAAGTCTACAGACGTTCCGCAAACTTTTTTTATACAGGAGTGTTGTAAACACGTTCGTGGGAACACGTTCGAGATATACTGCTACAAGCTCGGGGGAAGAAATTAGATATTGCATCGGCTTTAGAAGAGTGTCCGCACTCAATTTCTCTGCTTTCTCCAAGTAACACTCTGATTTGGCTGAAAACAATTTGATAATATTAATCAATCAGCAAAAGCTAAGATTGACGAGTTTGTATCTATCTCCAGCTCTTCAAAGTTATTTACATCACAAAGAAGTTAAATTGGATCACCAACATTCTCAGCTTTGCAACCTGCTGTATGGAAGAAAGTCCAACAACAATAGGTTCCCCGTGCTCAAATATACCTTCAAAAACTCCACCTCATAAAAGTCTTTCAACCGTTTTCAATCTTTTAAATAAGGGTTCGTTGATTGCTTTGGGTTTGTTCAACGTTCAGTTATTTTGTGATAGTATGCCTGGATCTATCCAGAAACTGATATCTTTAGAAAGAATTCTTAGTTTCTGCCAAAACTCCTGATAGAGGTTTTTCATATCATTCTCTGCTAGTATCAACCACTGACTAGACCAAATGGAAACATATTTCTAGAGAACATCGTATGAAATGGTCCTTAGTATACTCATTGAATGTCCATCTTTGAGAGATCGTTTCAACAAGAAGCACTACTCTTGAAGAGAAACGGTTTACCTAGGTACTCACCTTAAGAATCTGCGTTTTTTAAAAGCAGCACCTGGTAATAGCTTTTTCCATTACATCATAGGATCCACAGTGCTTAAAGCCACATGGACGTTAACATTCATGGCAACTTCGGGAGCGCCCATTCTCCACAAACAGCTTTCAACAATCATCCTGCAGTACAAAATACCCTCTCGTGGTTTCCACAAACACGAAAGTTTTCATTAAGTTTCTCCGCAAACACGAAACAAACACAAAAACAGACTATCGTAGAACTTGTGACAGAGCTATTGGCACTAGTTCTCTGGTTTTTTAGACCGTAAGAAAACATGGCAACCGCAATGCAAAATGTCGAGTGAGGCCAAGCCTTACGTTTGCCGAAGCCAGCCTCACCAAGGTTCGCACATCCATCTTTAGGAACTGGTAAATGCGTCGTGTGACTTAGGCAGATGAGGTTTGTTGACATTCTTTTACAGCAAACGATCCAATACATCGCGCTGGTAATATGAAGTACAAATACCAGCGCATTGGCCGCAAAAGCTCAAACACTATCCCCAGGATCAGGATACATCAGGGTAGATCCTATTAATTTCCACCCCAACGCAATCAACGAAGCCATTCTAGGAGGTGCCCTACTAATGTGTCCCGTACGAAACGGTAAAGTTTTGTACACTGCAAGCCACATTACATATAAAAAATGAAAAGAGATATAACTGTTTCATTTTTTAGCCTAAACCTAAATTTAAGCACTCTCTGTTTATGTTTTAACAAGTCTCTTCAATTGTTTAATTCCTTAAACAGTCTCCGATAATATTGGTTCCAAATTCTGGTAAATTGAAGTAAGTCACACTGAACTTAACCAAAAAGAGATCCATTTTTTTTCTGCTGAAAGGAGTCTTTAGAAAGATTTCTTGTGGGAAAATGGTTTCTGACCGGAGTTTTAACTTTTACATTGGTTTAATTTTTACCAACGGTAACACTTCCAAACTGCCTCACTTTTTCTATATATATTTTTTTCAATGTAATGCAATCACATATCATCCATCTCTCACTTCTTATTCTCTCGCTCAATTTGTTGTTCTGTCACAATTAGACAAACTTCTTGACAGGAACAGAAAAAGGTATCATCCCATTGCTTCGATTACCGCCAAATAATAAAAGTCCACACTAAAAATGTCGATTTTCCACTCTTTACCACATGTGAAAAAGCTCTCAAGCTCTTGTTTCCTGGTACTCAAATGAAATTTGGTGTATGTACTTGGCCGTCGTATATAAATTAGCGAGTCAAAACAAAAGAGTCAAGTCTTTATTGTTTGCTGCTCATATTTATTCGCAATTTACTGAGTTCAAACAAGGAAAAGAAAATATGCTTAAAACACTGAGCAATAAAAAACAATAAAAAAAAGCTTTTTTTAAGAAGGCACATGAGCTGATAAGTGAACTGAAAATAGAAAAATTTCTAAGAAACTTTAATTCCAAACAAAATATATTGAAGCGTGCTCAAAAAGAGTGAAACCAAAGCTGCATATGATATAAATCATAAGATTTTGAAGCATTTAAAATATCGCTAATTTGAAGATCTTGTGTTTCAAATTGTGTTTTTTGTAAATTTTCGGGTTACCAGATCTAGTGGAAAATCACCAAGATTAAGTTCTGGTTTACTCTAAACTCTGTACAACAGATCTCTGGCAAAGTCAAAAACGAAAAATTCAAATTGGTAAAAGTATGAGATTTTCACCGAATGATATCGTTCCGAAAGGGGTAAAAACCGCACTTTCAGATGAGCGTTCAAATTTTCAGCAATATCCACAGAAAACATCTCACACACGTTATCAAATATCTCGAAAAAACTCTCGGAAATTGTTTTGATAATGAACTGTTAAAGGTAAATCTTTAAGGATATCTAAATTTCAGTAATCATGGTACTTTTTTTACCATTGAGCTCCTTTTTTACAGTGCTTCTCAATTGTAATCCGAGTGATAGTCTTAGTCTTCTTACTAAATTTCTACCATAGCAAATACAGTTATATAAGGAGAAAGAAAGGTTGCTAACTCAGAAATAACGATCGTACCCTTCTTTGTACTTAAATAAAACCGAGAGGAAATTCATGTTCATACACACAAGAGAAAGTTTTCAAGACAAAAGGAAGATAAAAGCGATGAGTATTGAACCCGGTTTGTATCCACGCATGGTTGATATAGCTGTAGCCATGAAAAACAAAAATGGAGTTATTCCAGGTGCCCAAGTTTTTGAATATAATGGAAGCTATGTATCAATAGACGATATTACGCAGCAAATAGCTATTCAATTAACTGAGGATCAATCATTTTTTGTTTTTCAAAATACTACCTTGAGTCAAATGCTTACTTGTGAGTTAGAGCAAATTCAGACAAAAGATATGGTGAGTCAAAAGAGACCATATTATACTCAGTATTCTTATGTTTTTTAATGATACTTAGTGATTTTATCGACAAAAATTTTGTTGCTCATACAAAAACTCATTTAACGCGTTGCAATTTGTTCATTCCCAAAGCAGAAAATGGAGTTACAAAATCCTAAAGACACTACATGAAACATCAGTCTGTTACAAACCTAGTTTGAAAAAAATTTGAAAAATTTTCTCCATAGCATCAAGATAGAATTGAGAGAAAGTACAGGTGAAAAAACTGTTTTTGTAATGCAAGGAAATCACAAGGGTTGTACTCCTATTTCGTAAAACTGAAAATTGGTTGCTCAAAGCTTAGCTAATTTTCCCGTTTTTTGTGGTATGCAAGACCACGTAAAAAGCGGGTTTGGTTTGGTACTCTTGTGCATACTCTCAAAGCAATTGCAATCCCCTTTATTAAAAATATATAGTCGCAGCTCCAAAACGAATTGAAAATGATTTTTTTGAAATTTCCGCTCCATATATTGGATACACAGGATTGAATAAACAGATTGGATAGCTCAAAAACTTTCGCTCCTGCAAAAACGTTTTTAAAAAAATTAAAAGAAAATAAACCACACTGGTCACTTTCTGTACGGGGCTTTCACATATCTTCATCGGATATTTTTAATAAAGTTTCATTATTGGGAACAATCATTCCATCTTACACTCAAGAAGTGTTTCTCAGATTTTCTTTAGATGAATGTAGTATTAAGTTTGATTCTATGACGGACCGTGGTCTCTATTGGGATCTGAGTGATAACAATCAGAGTTTGAAGCTTCAGTTATTCATGGGAAGGTTGTTCGATGCTTGCAAAAAAGAGCAAGCAGAATATACAGATGAATCAGAAGATGACTCAGATGAGGAAACAGAACTTTTCTCAATTTATGTGAGCAACTACTTCATTTTTTAATCTGAAACTGAAATTTATTATATCCACACTACACGTAATACATTATTGATACTTACCAATTAGATAACGCAAGCCAAAATTTTTCTGAAAAACTGAAATTTCTACATAAAACCACCAAAAACTCGTTTTTCATCAACATTCTATTACCATTACCCAAACACTGAAACCCTTCTAAATCTATTCCTTTATACATTGTGGAACCAATTTATTAGTATAAACGGTACAAGCGATGTTAAAAAAGTACAAGAAAAGTTTTCTAATTAAAAACTTTTTTACGTGGCACTTAAAAAATGTTAAGAAATTTTTTAACCCCTTCTATAGTAGCTAGTAAAGAATTTCCAACCCGAAAAAAAATTGTCAACTGTGCAGCATGTTTAAATGTAGTACCTTGTGAACTCCCCCCCCCCCCCCTTGCAACAGGGCAGAGGAAAGTTATCTAGCTCACCCTTCTTGTAAAATAAGTGAAGATTATTCACAGTTAAGTGAAAACTATCAAGAAATTCGAATGTAATTTTACCGTGTACGGTCCAATTTGGTTTGAGTAGTCCCATTTGAGTGGGTTAAAACTGTGCAAGGGGCAATGTCGGACCACTCCGTCCTCCTTAAAAAGCATCAAGTCTTTTCTGGTAACTGGCGTGTCTCCTCCGCTCCCTGTCCCAAACCATTCTCTAATTTCATTGGTTTGAGAATTCTGATTGCCGGTTAACGGACGCACTCGGTTCTTGACCATGTCTTTAGAGTTTTGACCACGCCCCAGAAGTGAGGCTAAAACGATAGAAGAATACAGCAAGGCCGGTTATTTGACTGCTGAGTACTCATTGTTCAAGCATTAACTGAAATTACCTACAATTGTGGATAAAGACCCTTTATCTTATTGCCAACAAATTAGAGCTTTATCGCAATAATGTAATGGGGGCCTAAAGCTTGCGGGAGCAACGATGGGAAGAACCGATAAATAATGTTAGAAACTGAAAGTCGGCTTGTCTGCCAGTCTTTTATTTTCCCTTCTCTTCCCCTTGGCCCACCTACTGGTTTCACTAATTTACAGAAACCCGGGGCAGAGGCAGTGCTGGGCAGCTCCACATTTCACGGGGCGAGCCCCTTTCAATGAAGTGGCTTTCTAGGTTACCAAAAAAAACTATGGAAAGAAGGCTTATATTGGGGAAAAAAATTACTTGCGATTTAAGCGACATATTATATTTTAAACATAGTTGGGAGATTGTATTTTTTACATTGTTGGGCCAGAACATTTTGGCACACTGAAAGGCAATCCGGAGAGGGTGAAGCGAGCTCAGAGAGGATGAACCCCCCCCCCCCCCCCTCGCAAAACATTTAGAAAAGTGAACCTCAATGAAAAAAGTAAAAGAAAATAAAGTTGAAGCTACACTCAATGCAAATAGTAAAAAAAGTAAACAAAGTTGAAGCTACATTAAATGCAAAAGGTAAAAAAGAAAACAAATTTGATAGGTTGATAGTAGATTTGGAGACATCGCAAAACAATTATAAAAGTGAAACTCAATGCAAAAAGTGAAGAAAAGAAAGTTAGAGTTACACTCAATGCAAAAAATAAAAACAAAACAAATTTGATAGGTTGATAGTAGTTTTGGACACATCGCAAAACAATTATAAAAGTTAAACTCAATGAAAAAAGTAAAAAAACAAACTTGAGGTTAAACACAGTGCAAAAAGTAGAGAAAACAGAGTTGACAGGTTGATAGTAGATTTGGAGACATCGCAAAACAATTATAAAAGTGAAACTCAATGCAAAAAGTGAAGAAAAGAAATTAAGAGTTACACTCAATGCAAAAAGTAAAAAAGAAAACAAAGTTGATAGGTTGATAGTAGATTTGGAGACATTGCAAAACAATTAGAAAAGTTAAACTCAATGAAAAAAGTAAAAAAGAAAACAAACTTGAGGTTAAACACAGTGCAAAAAGTAGAGAAAACAGAGTTGATAGGTTCATAGTAGATTTGGAGACATCGCAAAACAATTATAAAATTGAAACTCAATGCAAAAAGTGAAGAAAAGAAATTAAGAGTTACACTCAATGCAAAAAGTAAAAAAGAAAACGAAGTTGATAGGTTGATAGTAGATTTGGAGACATCGCAAAACACTTATAAAAGTGAAACTCAATGCAAATAGTGAAGAAAAGAAAGTTAGAGTTACACTCAATGCAAAAAATAAAAAGAAAACAAATTTGATAGGTTGATAGTAGTTTTGGACACATCGCAAAACAATTATAAAAGTGAAACTCAATGCAAAAAGTGAAGAAAAGAAAACAAGAGTTACACTCAATGCAAAAAGTAAAAAAGAAAACAAAGTTGATAGGTTGATAGTAGATTTGGAGACATTGCAAAACAATTAGAAAAGTTAAACTCAATGAAAAAAGTAAAAAAGAAAACAAACTTGAGGTTAAACACAGTGCAAAAAGTAGAGAAAACAGAGTTGATAGGTTGATAGTAGATTTGGAGACATCGCAAAACAATTATAAAAGTGAAACTCAATGCAAAAAGTGAAGAAAAGAAATTAAGAGTTACACTCAATGCAAAAAGTAAAAAAGAAAACGAAGTTGATAGGTTGATAGTAGATTTGGAGACATCGCAAAACACTTATAAAAGTGAAACTCAATGCAAATAGTGAAGAAAAGAAAGTTAGAGTTACACTCAATGCAAAAAATAAAAAATAAAACAAATTTGAATGGTTGATAGTAGTTTTGGAGACATCGCAAAACAATGATAAAAGTGAAAATCAATGCAAAAAGTGAAGAAAAGAAAATAAGAGTTACACTCAATGCAAAAAGTAAAAAAGAAAACAAAAATGATAAGTTGATAGTAGATTTGGAGACATTGCAAAACATTTAGAAAAGTTAAACCCAATGAGAAAAGTAAAAAAAAAAAAAACTTGAGGTTAAACTCAGTGCAAAAAGTAGAGAAAACAGAGTTGATAGGTTGATAGTAGATTTGGAGACATCGCAAAACACTTATAAAAATGAAACTCAATGCAAATAGTGAAGAAAAGAAAGTTAGAGTTACACTCAATGCAAAAAATAAAAAAAAACAAATTTGAATGGTTGATAGTAGTTTTGGAGACATCGCAAAACAATGATAAAAGTGAAACTCAATGCAAAAAGTGAAGAAAAAAAAATAAGAGTTACACTCAATGCAAAAAGTAAAAAAGAAAACAAAATTGATTGGTTAATAGTAGATTTGGAGACATCGCAAAACACTTATAAAAGTGAAAATCAATGCAAAAGTGAAGAAAAGAAAGTTAGAGTTACACTCAATGCCTCAATGCAAAAAGTAAAAAAAACCAAGTTGATAGGTTGATAGTAGATTTGGAGACATCGCAAAACACTTATAAGAGTGAAACTCAATGCAAAAAGTGAAGAAAAGAAAGTTAAGAGTTAAACTCGATGCAAAAAGTAAAAAAGAAAACAAAATTGATAGTTTGATAGTAGATTTGGAGACATCGCAAAACAATTATAAAAGTGAAACTCAATGCAAAAAGTGAAGAAAAGAAAATTAGAGTTACACTCAATGCAAAAAGTTTAAAAAAAAAGTTGATAGGTTGATAGTAGATTTGGAGACATCGCAAAACACTTATAAAAGTGAAACTCAATGCAAAAAAGGAAGAAAAGAAAGTTAAGAGTTTAACTCAATGCAAAAAGTAAAAAAGAAAACAAAGTTGATAGTTTGATAGTAGATTTGGAGACATCGCAAAACAATTATAAAAGTGAAACTCAATGCAAAAAGTGAAGAAAAGAAAATAAGAGTTAAACTCAGTGCAAAAAGTAAAGAAAACAAAGTTGATAGGTTGATAGTAGATTTGGAGACATCGCAAAACACTTATAAAAGTGAAACTCAATGCAAAAAGTGAAGAAAAGAAAGTTAGAGTTACACTCAATGCAAAAAGTAAAAAACAAATTTGATAGGTTAATAGTAGATTTGGAGACATCGCAAAACACTTATAAAAGTGAAACTCAATGCAAAAAGTGAAGAAAAGAAAGTTAGAGTTACACTCAATGCCTCAATGCAAAAAGTAAAAAAAACAAAGTTGATAGGTTGGTTGATAGTAGATTTGGAGACATCGCAAAACACTTATAAAAGTGAAATTCAATGCAAAAAGTGAAGAAAAGAAAGTTAGAGTTACACTCAATGCAAAAAGTAAAAAACAAAGTTGATAGGTTAATAGTAGATTTGGAGACATCGCAAAATACTTATAAAAGTGAAACTCAATGCAAAAAGTGAAGAAAAGAAAGTTAGAGTTACACTCAAGGCAAAAAGTAAAAAAAAAACAAAGTTGATAAGTTGATAGTAGATTTGGAGACATCGCAAAACACTTATAAAAGTGAAACTCAATGCAAAAAGTGAAGAAAAGAAAGTTAGAGTTAAACTCAATGCAAAAAGTAAAAAAGAAAACAAAGTTGATAGTTTGATAGTAGATTTGGAGACATCGCAAAACAATTATAAAAGTGAAACTCAATGCAAAAAGTGAAGAAAAAAAGTAAGAGTTACACTCAATGCAAAAAGTAAAAAAGAAATCAAAGTTGATAGGTTGATAGTAGATTTGGAGACATTGCAAAACATTTAGAAAAGTTAAACTCAATGAAAAAAGTAAAAAAGGAAACAAAGTTGATAAATTGATAGTAGATTTGGAGACATCGCAAAACATTTTAAAAAAAGTGAAACTCATTGAAAAAGGTAAAAACAAAGTTGAAGTTACACTCAATGCAAAAAGTAAAGAAAACCAAGTTGATAGGTGATAAATTTGGAGATATCGCAAAACATTTAGAAAAAAACTCAAGGCAAAAAATAAAAACGGAAGCAACATGTTGTACCGAACAGAGCAGATGGGTCTGGTCAGTATTGATGCAAGGTCTTCAACAGCAAGTTGACCTACCATCGGCAAACTTATTCGTAAATCGAGTTTTCAGAGAAAAAAAACGAAATCAGTTCGAACATGAGCAAAATCACGGCAGACGAAGAAAAAGAAAACTTTTATCGTTCAAAGCTAGAGCTAATGAAATGCTCCTAGAGAAATGGTGATGTTTTCCAGCTAGTTGGTGCACCAAAACAGCGCGTTTATTTCATTCAGTCCATTTTTTGTATCTAGATGATGTAAACAAGACTGAACCGTAGAATATTTCCGATTCTTGCACCTCGGATGAAGCGAAGCCAAAACAAGCGAGGGTTGTATACAACGATAATATAATGTTATAATTTTATAATTTCTCCTTTTCTTAGAAATATGCACTCACTTCTGTTCTTGCCAGTTCTAGTCAAACTCAACAGTGCCTGTCCTTCTGGTTTTGGAAAGACATGAGTCTTGTTATCCGGCTCAACTACGGGCGGCTGTAGAGCATCAAGCAACTCGTCATCTGCCTTATTTTGTTCACTTGCCTTCTTATCTTTCTTCTTGTTCTTCTTCTTTTTACTTTTGCCACTACTAACTGCATCTTGTTGAGTAGCCTCGGTGACAGCAACATCTCCGGAAGTTAAGTTTTGATTTGGAAATCCCTCAGCAGTTGTGTTTTCAGATGTTCCTTGGGGTTGTTCCATTGCGTTATCATTTGTATTATTAGAACTAGTCGTGATTTGTGTTGTGACTTGCTGGCTAGTAGTGATTGTAGTGTTAGTGTTGTCTGCAATGTTTTCAGGTGCAATTGATGGTGTCTGCGCGACGAGTTCTTCGGTATTCGGTGTCGCATCATTATTCTTTCTATTTCGCCTGCTCTTTTTCTTTTTCTTACCGGAGATCTCCTGAACAGCAATTTCATCTGTTATCGCATCATGAGGAACTGCAGAGTTCCCCTCTGGTACCATTTCTCTTCCAGTGGTTTCTTGTTGCAGGGTTGGATGTTCAAAGCTTTCTTGACCTTGAACATTCATTTGATCCAAAGTGTTCGATTCTGAATGCATTTGTTCATTTTGTTCATTTACTGCCGAGTTCGTCAAGTTGGCACTAATTTCAAATGGTGTCGCCGAGAGTGGCGTTTTTTCTGCAGATATTGGAAGCACTTGAGAACTGTGATCTGGAAGCGTCTGTGGTATCCCGTTATCGAAATCGGTGATCGATCGTCTTCGTTCGGGTGTAGAGCTTGACAACTGAGACATCTGCTGCATTTGTGTGGATAGAGGTGCGTTCGATTGCTGCGTAGGCTGCAAGTTCAGAAAATCCTGATAACTTTTTGGACTTGGTGTAATTTCTTGGGTCGTTAATTGCTGCTGGTTCTGATCACCAACTTGTGTTGCTCCGCTTTGGGTAAACACATTGGTCAACGGCATTGGGGACGCGCCATCTTGCATTTGATGGGGATACGATCCTCTTCTTCTAGGTCCACTCTGTTGCTCCACTGCCGCATCTCGTGATGCAGATCGAGCTTTTCTTCCGATCTGAGGTTTCAGCTGATACGTACCGAATGCTGCGAACGCAGATGATGTCAGCGATTGCATCTGAGGGGTCGGATGCATCTGAGATGATGTCGGATGCATCTGAGATGTCGGATGCATCTGAGATGATGTCGAATTCATCTGAGATGATGTCGATTGCTCAAATGGCGGTGATGGTTGCTGCACAGGTGCTGTCGGATGCAGCTGCGGTGATGCCGGTAATAGAGGCGTTTCTTCCACTGTATTTAAAGTTTGATCATTGGAGGTATCCTCCAAGGGTGTTGTATTCAAAGTTGGTTCTAATGATTCGAAAAAATTCCTTTTTGATAGTTGTTTATTGCGCTTTTGTCTTGATTTCACACGCTGATTGTTTGCAGTCGGGTTCTGAGTTGCTGGTTGTTGAAGATGTGAGCCATCAGTTACCGAACTTCGAGAAACAGCTCTTTGATTTCTTGAGTTGATTGTCTGCCAACGGCTTACTGGTTGAGAAGCTTGGTCTGAACGATTAATGGGAGCATAACCACTAGAAGATGCCTGAGAACTAGCACAAGTACCAGGGGAAGATGTGGGACCGAGTGACGGGTTTGAAGTTCTATTTTGCGCCGGGTTCTTGTTTAAAAAGATTGCAGCAACAGATCGGTAGGAAGGTTTTTCAGATGTTGGTTGCCCTTGATCTATGTTGCGGTTATCAGAAATCGGAGGACATATTTGAACATTCGTTGCTCGTTTTATCTGTTGCCTCAGATTCTGTTGATATGGCACCGACTGCCCTTGAACTGACTGACCTTGTATTAGTTGACCTGTCATTGACTGACCTTGCATCGGTCGCCCTTGCATCGATGGACCTGTTATTGACTGACCTTGCATCGGTGGCCCTTGCATCGATGGACCAGTCATTGACTGACGTTGCATCGGTGGCCCTTGCATCGGTGGACCTTGCATCGGTGGACCTTGCATCGGTGGACCTTGCATCGGTGGACCTTGCATCGGTGGACCTTGCATCGGTGGACCTTGCATCGGTGGACCTTGCATCGGTGGACCTTGCATCGGTGGACCTTGCATCGGTGGACCTTGCATCGGTGGAACTTGCATCGGTTGACTTTGCATTGATGGACCTTGCATCGGTGGCCTTTGCATCGGTTGACTTTGCATTGATGGACCTTGCATCGGTGGCCTTTGCATCGGTGGACTTTGCATCGATGGACCTTGCATCGGTGGCCCTTGCATCGGTTGACTTTGCATTGATGGACCTTGCATCGGTGGACTTTGCATCAGTGGACTTTGCATCGATGAACCTTGCATCGGTGGCCCTTGCATCGGTTGACCAGGCATTGATGGACCTTGCATCGGTGGACCTTGCATCGATGGACCTTGCATCGGTGGCCCTTGCATCGGTTGACTTTGCATTGATGGACCTTGCATCGGTGGACTTTGCATCGATGAACCTTGCATCGGTGGCCCTTGCATCGGTGGACCTTGCATCGACTGGTCTTGCATCGATTGAGGTGTCATCAGTTCACGTATCTTCGATGGATGTGCCTTCGGCGGACATATTAAGGTTGTACTTTGCATCAGTTGACCTCGTATTGATGGACCTTGCGTCAGTTGACCTCGTATCCGCTGAGCTTGCATCAGTTGACCTTGTAGCGGTGGCTGAGCTTGCATCAGTTGACCTTGTAGCGGCTGTGATTGCATCATTTGATCTTGTGGTGGCGGTTGAGTTTGCATCAGTTGACCTCGATATGGTTGGCCTTGCATCGGCTGACCTTGCATCGGCTGACCTTGCATCAGTTGACGGATCATCGGTGGACCTGGTATCGGATGACCTTGTATCGATGCACCTTGCATATGTTGACCTCTTATCGGCTGAGCTTGCATCAGTTGACCTCGTATCGACTGAGCTTGCATCGGTTGACTTTGTATTGGCTGAGCTTGCATCAGGTGAGCTTGCATTGGCTGAGCTTGCATCACTTGATCTTGCATTGGTTGAATTTGACCTCGATATGGTTGGCCTGGGCTTGGCTGAAATGGGACGGGATTACCTTCCATAGGTCGACCTTGAATTGGATCATTTTGAGCTCGACTGCCAATAACAGAGTCCATTGGGTTTGCGCCAAATCCCTGAAGATGCTGGTTCCTTGCTACATATGGTATAAACGCTGATCCTGCTGGAATCCCTTCTAAACGGAATCGAGTTTAAGGGATGGCAATATATCGCGTTTAACAAATTTTCGGACGTCTAAAACTGCATCTGAACTGTAAAAAGAGCAATGTGAAATGATTGCGCTGTTTCGGAGAATTCATTTTGGCCTAAATCAAGTACAAAATTTAAAAACCTCTCATTCAACAATGATTTGCCGTGTAATTTAGCAAAAAAAAACACAAAACGCCGACAAAAAGGCAAACGCGAAACACATCAATGAAACTTATTTTAATTAAACTTATTAACTTATTTAAACTTATTTTAGATTTGAAGGTCAGAATTGTTTCAGCAATTTAATTCGTTGTCCGAAAAAATTGTTAAAAACTACAATTAGCAACAAAAGGTTCAAACAGACATAACTAGTCAAAAAGAGCAAGCGTGAATGCAAAATCTAGCTTTCGAGACTGAATTTATGTCTGAAGTTAGTCTGAAAAACAAAATTGCATGCAAAAATTTGTCAAATGGTTCGATTGATCTTTTTAATTATATCTGTCTGTCTGAACTTTTTGCGATTCTTTTAGGGTGGTGGCTTTGAGTTGAATAGACGAAGTTTTCCAATTCTACGTAGTTCTTTTAGATTTTCGCAAGTCATAAATGGACCTCAACAATACCTAGTTTAGAAAGCCTACCTAAGCACCCATATAAAAGCTAATCAGGTGTGAATTTTGTAATTAATAGGGGGTCTTTTGCTATGATGAGATCGTATAGGTGCAAGTATCGTTAAAAATCACGATGTGAGCGATTCCCCGGAAAGGAGATTGCGGTTTATGTTCCCTATTTCATTGCCCGAAAATACCTAACTAAGGGAAATGGAAATTCAAAGCCCTCACCCCCCCCCCCCCCCGCCGCCGAGGTTTAAATTTCTGTCTGCTCGAACTTAGTGCAACTTATAATAGAAAGTATGACTGAAGGCCACCTAAAAATTAAAAAGACAAGTTGCCCTAAAAATAAATAGCCATCAGGCAGCGTTTTTTAAAAGTAAACCAGGATAGCCGGTTACTGGGCAAGTAGCACAAAATGTTCCGACCAGTCTTACAAAACTACAACAAAATTAATTTTTCATGTAGTGTCGTTTTGTTCGTAATAAAGGAATCTGAGCAAAAAAATACATCTTAATCATTCCCGTACAGAAACAAAATAAAAATACAGATATGCCCAGGGTTAATCCATTTCTTGTGAGATTGCATATCTGTCCTGAACTGTATCAGACATGTTCAGACCTGGAAGATACAAAAATTGTAATGTTACAGAAAAAAAATACAGATATTCCCAGGGTGAATCCATTTGTTGTGAGATTGCATATCTGTCCTGAACTGCATCAGACATGATCAGATCTGAAATTTTTTTTTTTTGAAATTTTCGAATGAATTCTCAACTTTTGTCACGTGTCTTGTTTTTTCGTTGAAAATAGTTATATAGTCATTCTATCGATGTATTGAATGTCATTCTCACAATGGTAGTTTTGGTTTTGTTCTTTAGCATTAATGAAATTAAATTCAGCAGAAATACGGAGAAGTAGTTCAGTTTGTTAAAATTTTGCATAGATTGATATATTTTCAAGGTCAGTTCAATTTTTAGATACTCCGAAAAATGACGAACCAAAAATTTGCTTAGTTTGTCAAGCAATTGACATGAACTTCATTAAGGTAAGGAGTGCTTTTTGGTCCGACCTGTTAATAATTGCAACATATTTCAATATTGCAGTAATTTTTGGGGCTGATCGATTGAAAACACGCCATGTGACCTTTGTTAAGCTCTGATCGATGAACAATTCACTGAGGTTTTTTGGATGTTTGGCGATATAAAAAGTATTCTGTAGAACAAAAGAAGTCATGATGCAAAATTCTGATAACTAATTCATTTTTTTAAGCTTGATTTTGAACAATAATTTGCAATATGCAGGGTTAACATGATTTAGAAAACAAATATTTCTACGTATTTTTAAATTGAAAAATGTAAAATGGAAAAAAATAATGTTCTCGAAAGTGTTGTCATTGACTGATGTAAAAAATTTGAATAGACCCTTGAATCGATCTGCCCCGGAGTCTTTTTGAAATTTTAGTGAGTGGAAATCTATCCAACAAAAACTTGGAAACCAGATCTGAGCATCTCAAAATCTTGCCTTTATCAGATCTTGTCCAGACATGGTGCATGTTTCGTTTGGACATGGACATGTCTGAATCAGGACTGAGGCAGGTACGGATTCTATCACAAAAGCAGATCTGCTCAAGGTCTGATTCAGACCTGGAAAATATATGGGTCAGATCTGAACAGATCTGCACCAGTTCTGACCCATGTGTGCCCCAGGTCTGAATCAGACCTTGAGCAGATCTGCTTTTGTGATAGAATCCGTACCTGCCTCAGTCCTGATTCAGACATGTCCATGTCCAAACGAAACATGCACCATGTCTGGACAAGATCTGAAATAGGCAAGATTTTACGATGCTCAGATCTGGTTTCCAAGTTTTTGTAAGGTACGGGTTTTCGTCAGTCATTGTAAAATATGCAAATTGGAAAACAATTTTTGAAGACAAATAACATGAAAAAGTTTAAAATTTTTCCAAATAATTTTTTCAAAATTTTTCCCCCAAATTTTTTGATTCCTAAGATGAAGCTAATAACTCCAAAAACCAACTTCATTTGAGTAACACTAAATTTTCAAGGCTTTAATTAATCTGAAATAAGCTAACGTAAGCCTGCTCACTCGCTCGAAATTAGACGAAAAATCAAAAATTTCAAACCGGTTTTTCTCGACACCTGATAATTTTTTTGAAATTTTTTGATGTCATTCGAATCACGACTGAAAGGGCTTTAATATGATATATCCCTCAACCTTGTCCGATCAATATTTGTGGTACCAAAATTTGCGTGGAAAACAAAAGCAAAAAAACTTAAACACAACCGAATACAAAGTTCCTCCCCATTTTCAGGGGTCGGAACAACAATTTGAAAAACAACATTAATAGATAGGGTAAAGTGATGGGGGTTGGAGTAGTAGGAACCAACTCGAACACTTATATAGAGATTTGCAAAATATTCAGACTGTGACAGTTGAATAAACTGATTACTCTCCGCGTTTTGCCAGAATTTTGCATGCATTTTTGGTGTTTCAGGCAATCTTGAGAAGCAAATTTAGTCTGAAATGCTTTAGCTTGCAAAATTTTTCCAAAATAGGTAAATCGCTCGTTTTTAGTAATTTTACCTGTCCGAACTTTTTGCTCCTAATTATACTTAGTTCACCTTAAATGTTGATTACTATCTTTGAGTGAGCCTGGTGTAAAAAAATTACCCGATTTGGTTTTAAAGCTCATCAAGCTTGCAAACTGTTTTGAGCTTCAACCCAGTAACATCCTCAACAACGTGCAAGACAAGAATTCTTTCTAGCAAACTATGATTTCTTAACATCTTAAAAAATACAATTGATGTTCTCATCGTTAGATTTAGCATCGAGCCTCCTGTCGCCAAATATTTTGAAGTAATTTGTAACATCTTAACTTATTGGAAACGAGAGCAAAAG